AACAAAATAAATAATTATTATCTTTATAAGAAAATTATATTATTAAACCAAATATAAATTACTTCGTTATTTATCTAAATTAAATTATAAAAAATTGAATTAAAAAATTACAAAAAATTGAGGAACTTTAAATAGTTAATTTGATACTAATATCGATATATTTTTGTTAAATTTTTATGATATCTTCAAACTTTGTACTTATGTACAATTTACTTGTATCTTGAATTTTAAGTAATATGCATTAATTAATAGTACTTTATACATAAAAATGATTTTTAAAAGTTTTTATCAAATACTTTATAATATAATATAGATAAAAGAATAATAATAAAATAAAATATATTATTTATTTGATTTAGATATATGACGTGTTTTGTGTTTTTTTTTTAATTTCCAATAAATTTTTTTTTAACCGGCAACAATTTTTTTTTTCCAATAAATTTAACACCCCAATTTGAGGTGCTAACAACAATGCCCTAAGTTGAATACACTTTAACTCTTTACTTTTGACTCATCACTACTTTCTTATTTTTGAACTCCGTCTCTTTTGGTGTATGCAAGTCTTTCAAACCCTGACAGTGTGTTTGTGTGTGTTGTCTTCATCGATTGGTCACATCATACCCTTATTCCTCCTCCCTTGTCGCCATCGACATATAAACTGTCCGTCGTTTGTAAAACTTGTAAATCACATCTCCTCGATGGCCCTACCTCCTTGATTTCAATTTTTGCTTCTCAAAACATTCTCTCACATTTCCCTTGGTTTTTGCCCAATTCTTTTTTGCAGTTGTATAGAGAGAAAATGAAGATGATGTTGTAGATCAACATACAGAAAAGTTGAAAACTACAAAATCCCTCAAAGATTCGGAGAAAGGTGAGTCAATTTTGAAGTTGGTAATACCCTTTTCTGAAACAACATGAGTGCTTCTTAAAACGGTTGTAATCTCATTGGTGTATTAGAACCTTCATCAAATTAAGAAGCCCCCTATTTAATTATGCACGAAATAGGGTTCTTTTTGAAAAATTTGAAAGAACACAATGGATTTTCATAAGATTTTATGCAATTTTATAATTTCTTAATCATGAAGTTCAATTTTATGCAAGATTTGTTAAAAGATTCTTTCTAATAACATCAAGAAGTTTTTTCCCCCTTATGATGGGGATGGTCTAATTTCTATGTTTACTAGCCAACTTATGTAACATGGAACATAGCAACATCGTCGATGTGGGAAATTTGTTGGATGTTTGAGTTTAGTGGTCTGATTTCTTTAATCATTCATTAGACATGATGTACCTTAACCAATATTGTATCATAAAATGCAGATGAATGAGTTTTCATCTTTTTCTACTGATTAAAATAAGGTGCCAAACAAACCTTTGCAAATTCTAACATATACAAAACATCCATAAGACGATGTACAATAACTTTTACAACTATGCCTAATCTCAATATGAGTAATTTGCGTCATCAAAAGATTTATTCAAGTGAAAGATACATGATAAAAAATAACTTAATTTTTTTTGGTCTGCCTTTAAAATTGCCCACAACACCATCAAATTGAGTTCGAAAGATACATGGAAACTCATAGAACAAAAGCCATGGATTTTGATGGATCTCAAGTTTGAACATTTTGTTTTAGTTGATTCTTGGAAAAAGATACGATTTTTGATTATGTGGGGATGGGTCTCGGTTCCGCAAGATCACAAGAATGGCGTCAACCCCTTCTGACATCGATATTATTTTTCTTTTATTTTTAAAAGAAAGATTTAATCTACCAACTCAAAAATCCAAAAAGCACAGATTTTCTGACAATTTTCCCTTTTAAATTTTCTTGGTTCATTTGTCACTAATTTCTCTCCGGCGGAATCGCCATTTCAGCACCTTCAAGGTCTCTGCAATTCTTCATATCAACGTTGAGAGTCCTTATACATTACTTCTGAAGAGGTATTTCATCTTCCTCTGAAATGGGTTCTCTGATCGACCTAAATCTTTATCCTGATTCTCCTGTGATGGACACCACTGATGTTGCCGGCGGTAACATCCGGGAAGCCACTACTGCCTTAACCCTGAGTATCCCAAAGCTCGAACCTAAAGAAGAACCTTTTGACGAGCCACCCCAGTCCCGTCATTCTCATACTAATTCATCAAACCCTAACCTTAATTTCACTCTCAGCACACAGCCCGACACATCGGAACCTGCTCAGCAACCCGTCTCAGATGAAACCGATGTTTATTCCGAATTCAACAGGATTTCAGAGCTGTTCTTGACCGCCTTCTCCAAGAAGACCGATAAATACGACGACGCTGCTGCTCTCATGGATCCGAATTCACAAGCAATTGTGCCTGTCCCCGAAGAAAATCAGCATTCGGCCGTCTCGGATTCCTCTCGTCGGAGGAATCAACAGCGGTCAGCGGAATTAGTTAGGGTTACAAACCTGGGAATAGAAGACGAAAGGTATTTCCGAGACGTGGTAAGGAAAACCAGGATGATTTATGACTCTCTTAGGGTTTTCTGTGCTATGGAGGACGAGAAGCGTAAGTCTCATATGTATGGGCGTCTTCCCCGCGCACGGGGAGATTTGAAGTCTGCTTCTGTGATGAAAGATCGTGGTCTTTGGTTGAATCGCGATAAAAGGATTGTTGGGGCGATTCCAGGGGTTTATATTGGTGATGTTTTCTTTTTCCGAATGGAGCTGTGTGTTGTGGGAATGCATGGTCTACCTCAGGCAGGGATTGATTACCTGACCTCCAGTCAGAGTGCAAATGGAGATCCAATTGCTACCAGTATAATTGTTTCTGGTGGATATGAAGATGATCAAGATGCTGGTGATGTTATTATATATACAGGCCATGGCGGGCAAGACAAGCACAGCAGGCAGGCTAACCATCAGAAATTGGAGGGTGGGAATCTAGGCATGGAGCGGAGTATGCATTATGGTATTGAGGTACGGGTTGTTCGTGGTCTTAAGTATGAAGGCAGCCCAAGTGGCAAAGTGTATGTTTATGATGGGCTGTATAAAGTTGTTGATTCTTGGCTTGAAGCTGGAAAATCTGGTTTTGGTGTTATTAAGTTTAAGCTTCTGAGGATAGAAAATCAACCTGAAATGGGCAGTGCGATCCTCAAATATGCCCAGAGTCTTAGGAATGCACAAATTGAGGTTAAACCAAAGGGATATATCTGCCAGGATATGTCGAAGAAGAAGGAAAACATCCCCGTGCTTGTATTCAATGACATTGACAATAATCACGAGCCAATGTTCTATGAGTATCTGGTGACATCTGTTTTTCCTCCCTTTGTGTATCACCTTGGGGGGAACAATGGCGGATGTAATTGTGTGTCTGGATGTTTGGACGATTGTATTTGTACTGCAAAGAATGGTGGTGCATTCGCGTATGATCACAACGGTTTACTTGTCCGAGGAAAACCATTAATATTTGAATGTGGACCACATTGCAATTGCCCTCCCAGTTGTCAGAATCGTGTCAGCCAAAAGGGTATTAGAAACAGGTTTGAAGTGTTCAGATCAAGGGAAACTGGTTGGGGAGTTAGATCTTTGGACTTGATACCGGCTGGTTCTTTTATTTGTGAATACACCGGAGTTGTTCTCACAAGACAGCAAGCCCAACTTTTTACAATGAATGGTGATAATTTAGTCTATCCAAACCGGTTTGGTGAGAGATGGGCAGAATGGGGGGATTTATCCCAAATATTCACCGACTATGTACGCCCATCATATCCGTCCATACCTCCACTTGATTTTGCAATTGATGTTTCAAGAATGAGGAATGTTGCTTGTTACATGAGCCATAGTTCGTGTCCAAATGTTTTAGTTCAGCTGGTGCTGTATGATCATTCCAATTTTGCATTCCCTCACCTTATGCTGTTTGCTATGGAGAACATTCCTCCTATGAGGGAACTGAGTCTTGATTATGGGGAGACCGATGAATGGACGGGGAAGCTGTCTATTTGTAACTAAATCAACTTCAAGTAGCTTTTGTGTACCTGAATGCAGATTCGGGGATGCATATGCACCAAGGTAACTACAGTTTTTCATCCTGTTATTTTGTATTAGATGCACTATGCTAACTGAGTTCTATTAGATGTACCATGCATGTTTGTTCTTGTACCTTTGAATGTTTTTCTTCCTGTTATTTTGTATTGCTGTACTTCACTTTCGTCCATGTTATATTTTAGTAGCAACCTTGGATTGTAATTACATCTTATATGAAGCATTTGTTCATGGTGCTATCAATAGCTTTCTCTGAGTTTGGGATGTGAATTCCATTCTACATTTGCTCTCTGTGGAAACTCTTTGTTCCTCTCTTAGCTATTGGATCCTCCATCCGATCAATTTCTCATCTTCTGTATATGGACCATTGGATGTTCTCATCATATTCATAAGTTCTTGCTTTTATGATCAACATCAACTTCATTTTTTATAGTTTCATCTATTGCTCCTTAGGCTGTTCTTTTGTTTGTTTTTCTCGTTTTGTTATGCTATGGTCAATTGTCTTAACTCCATTAAGTTTTGTTTGGTGCAGTCGTACTGCTTCTCTGCCACTTCATTCGCGTACTGCTTGTGCTCTGTGATTTAGAAAATATTTTCTCTTTACTTCTTATCTATCAATGTCAACAACAAAAATTTAAATTGAATCTGAACTAACCTGGTGGCAGGAGAATGATGGACTGTTGGTTGCCATAACATGTTTTTGTTTGCATTTAATTTCTTAGTATTGCTTATAGAAACATCCAAAGTGCAGCAGAAGAACCTCCATATGTGATATGACCATGTCTTCACTGATCGGCATTGTATGCATGTATCCATTGTGTTCAGTCGCTCTTAGAATTGCTAGGCACATGAGGCTTGTTTTTACATCTATTTATAAGTGTTAGGGTAGAGGGAAAATATCTGTGGTTATTTGGTTATGAATTTTCAGTATAGAATGATTGGGGCTGATTAAATTCTCTAGCCCTATTATGAAATTACATATCCTAGAGCTCGTTCGTATATCTTGGAAAAGAGAAGTAGCAGATACTTAAGAGAGTGTTACTATTGAACAGTGGCATTAAACCTTTTAGAGCGTTAAATGGCTTTACATGGAATGGGATAACGAAAAGGAAATTACTGAAAGAATAAAGTGGAAATATTATTGATAGGTGGCTAAATAAGGAGGCCTAAATGACTCGGATGAATATGAGTATGAGTTATTGTAATACACTTGGCCAACAATAAGTTTATCGAGCTTTTTTAACTATTGGAGCATCATTGCATTATGTTAAGAATGTTGAGGCATAAACTCTAAATGTCCAAAAAGGAGTATGGTCTGAAAATGTTTAAAATAGGTGAATGCTGAAACATCGATGATTCTACCGATTAGAGAGATGGAGAAATTTGAAAAGAGGTAAAAGTGAGGGAGATTGAAGTAGTGTAGTTTGGGTAACTTTTTGTTGTCGTCCTTTAAGCTGGGTTAATGTTGATATCTATAATAGACAAGTTTTATGCAGGTAAAATTGGAAGTATAAAATAAATTTCGTCATGGACCTAGTAAATTTGTAAGCTATAATGGACGGGTAGAATGGGGGGAGGGTTAGAGAGCCTTGGCGGTAGTCAAGAGTGCCATAGGTAAGGTTACAGGGGTGGGACCATTGGCTTACTTACATGTCCTATTGTTCTTCGTTTTTACTACCCCCTACATCCTAGAATAAATGTCCACAATGAAAAAGGCACACAATTTTATAAATATGTAATTACTGCACTTTTTAGTTAACTAATGACAATTTTACCCTTAATAATAGAGGGAGTGATGAATTTCTCCATATCATAATTAAGGGTAAAATTGGATTATTGGAAATTAGGCACTTATTTTTGGAGTAAACTAAAATAGAAATGTGGACACTTATTTCACATCGGAAGAAGTATGTTAGTTTCTAGTACTTTCTTCTATATCCTTTTTTTCTTACTGTTTTTACAAAAATCTTCATGCTATACCAATAAATGCCTCAAGCACTACATCAACTTTTCAAAACCATGAAATCTTTCAATTTTTTTGACCAAGCTATTTGGGTAGCTCAAGATTTCTCCAAAACTTTTTTGCAAAACTTTACTCATGGTGGGCCTTTCATTCTTTAGGGTTGAGGTAAAGTTTGCATACATCCTACCGACATACTATACTTCCTAGCGTACATACCAGGTACATTTGATCTATTTTGGTTTATTGAGACGATGACTTTCATTCCCACTTGTCTTGCCATTGGACAATAGTTTGAATTTCATAGTTTGGTTTATCGACTTCTATGAGTTCAACTTAGATTGCAAGATGTTACTATAGAAAAATAGGCTTTGAATCAATTTTGTTCAAAGAGAATGATGCCTTCAAATAGGCTTGCACAAATAAGAAAAGATTTGGTAATAAATACCGAATATTTTAGACTAATTATAGAGGTTCTATGTTAACCTATAGTTAATCTAAATACATAAACTATACCAAATATACATATTTAATTTCCTACTCTAGCGAGATACTAAATCAGTTGATTATGTTTTCTACATCCTCCCTCAAGAGATTCCACACGCCCAACTTGTAAACTAGCTCATCAAAACTTTCTTTTGGTAGACCGTAGACTTTTAGTCAATATCTGAATGCTTACTGAGAAAATGTACAACACATAATTCATGTTCATTAATTTTTTTTTAATGAAGTGTCTAACCCCTCCAACATGCTTGGTGTTGTCATGATGAACTAGATTATGTACTATGTTGATTACAGATGTGCTATCGCTATACAATCTTAATGGCTTGACTCTTTGAAGTTTTAATTCGTCAAGTACGTGTTTGGTCAAGATTAATTCACATACTCCTTGAAAGTGCTTATTTTGTTCTTGCGACCTCCATTCCTAGAAAGTGCTTCATTGTTCAAGATTTTTTGCTACAAATTTTGGGCTAGCATGCCTTTAAGCTTTTCTTGCTCTCCATAATCATTATCACGTGTTACTAACATGTCATCAACATAGAGGATGAGGATAGTAATCCTACCCTCGTGTCGGTGTTTGAAGAATAAGGTGTGATTTGACTGAGCTTGTTTGTATCCACATATTTTTATCACCTGATTGAGTATTTTGAACAATGCTCTTGGAGATTGTTAGACAATAGAGGGATTTTTTTCAAGTGATAGACATTCTCCATCACATACCTTCCTTCAAACCCCTGAGGAATGTTCATGCAAACTTCTTCCAAATGCCTGTTAAGAATCTAGAAGTTGCAAGGGCTATTCGAGATTGGTTGCAACTGATTGTAGAACTCTAACCCTATTTAACTCGGCAACATGAGCCAATGTCTCATTGTAGTCCATACCATGTGTCTGAGGGATCTAGCTTCGCTTTATATCAATCTATCGTTCCATCAACTTTGTGTTTTAACTGTAAACACCCATTTATACAACTACCTACATGTTTATCTCTTGGTCGATTGATAGTCGTCCATGTGTTGTTGGCTTCGATTGCCCACAAATTTTCATGAAGTGCTTTCTTCTATTTTTTTATGGAAGAGTTTCGGTAATGTTCTTAGGAACAAATTATTTTCTCGATTTCTGCTACGAAAGTCTTTATAGTGTGGAGTTAGTATGCTATACCCGACATATATAGAGATTGGATGTTCAGTGCAACTTCGAACTCCCTTTGTTTTGGCAATAAGTAACTCATGCTCCGGTTCAATCATATTGGAAGACTCAAGATTGGAAATATCATGGGATAAAGCAGGGTCAAGAGAGGGATTAATTATGTCAGGAATAGTTTGTTGGTTAGACTCATGAGATGTTGGAACAACAACCAACTGCATTACTTTATGATTTTTTGTGCCGAAAGTAAACCAAGAGATCCTAGTTTTGGGTGGATAAGAATATGAGATTGTTGTTGCTTAGAGGCGCTTGTATTAAGTTATGGAGGTTCATCATTGTTTTAGGAAGACAAGAATCTGAACCGGAATATCACTCACATTCCTCCCTTGGGATAAAAAGGCTGGGATAAAAAGGTTGGGATAAAAAGGTTGTTCTTCATTGGATGTCACGTCGAAGGAGATCTATATGTGACAAGTAGAATAACGGTAGCATTTGTACCCTTTTTTGGTAGAAGAGTAGCCCAAGAAAGGCACTTAAGAGCCCGATGATCAAATTAACAATGATTTGAGCCAAGGATATGAACATAAGTGGTACACCGACAGGTTTTAGGGGAAGAGTATAAACAAGCTGTGTATATGGATTAGAGGTGATAATTTACGGGATTAGGCTAACCTAATATTCTTGTCCAATGGGCCTAATATAGTAAACCGAAGCTTTTTTTTTGGGTGCTTGATAACTTGTCCATACGCATCCTATAAACGGGTAAACGGGCATGGGTGCAGAGCTACGAACTAATGGGCCCAAAAATCTTTTACATTTAAAAAAACATAAAACTTATATAAAATCATAAGCTATGTCAAATAATTCAAAATACATCATTTTTCCAACTTGAAATAAGCCGTAAAAACATAACAATCTACATAGCTTAAAAAATAGTTTTACAAGTATAGACATTTCATGTTCAAAGATTTATCAAACTGTAGAGTCCAGATTTTTCGTCAACCAAATATTTTACTACCTAATGTTTCAAGATTGAGATTCGAGATGTACTATATAAATCGGTGCAAGTTCGAATTCGGCCCAAAGTCAGCCAAGTGATCTGAACTTTTCTTTAATAAAAAAGTAATGACGTATTAGTTATGTATAAAATCTTAATTAATCATAAATTATATACGTGCCTGGCTGGGAGGCCTATCCTAGATATATTTTCCAATTTACACTCTATCCAGACCCGCCTGCTATTTCAAGAATAGTTGTCCAAGCTTGTTTTTTGAACGGGTTGGGTGGGTCGAATCTACGGTTGTTCTGTAGGTGAACAACTCTATTGTGGATATGCTTAAAGGAGCATAAAGAAAGGAGTGTGATATTTTTAACACTCAAAGAGGGTATTATATTGATAAGATGGACAACCATAAGGATAGCC